GATATGTGTGGTTTATAATAAAGAGTATCCTACATTATAATAGAGTTTAACCTACATTTGACTAATAAAACAAGAAAAATAAAAGTTCCAAAATTCCTACAGAGCAAAGATGTTCAGAACACATTCTTTGAATAATTAAGACTTCTCACATCAACTGTAAGTGGAGTCAAAGTTTAATCTACTAATTCAGAAGCTGGAGCTCCAAACTGATGCACTGACCTCCAAGTCTGCCATATGCTGGGTCTCTACAAACCCAAGGAGGCTTGGAGATATATTTTTGTAGTAAATATAATGTTTTTGTGACTGTTTGTACTTTTTTTGCTTCAAGATTTACCTCATCTTTTGCAACACATATAGTTGTGTACAGAATTCACCACTCAGGTTTTTATCAGAAAATAAAGCATAATCAGCATATTGTAACACATCACTCTTAGTCAGTCTCATTTCTGTTCAGGGAGACAGTGTAGACCTGCAGTGCTCCCTCAGGCATTATGAGAAGCAGGTAAGATGCACAGAGGCACAGTGAGATTACAGAGTGAGCCTAATGACAGGGTTATTAACTGCTTTTGATGGTTTCCCTGTCTTTACAGTATCACATCCACAAACATCCAGGTCTGAGATCTGCTCTTCACTCTGTCTCATTAGTATCTGTGCTCATGAGTCTGTTTAAAGTGCCACTCAGAGCTTCTTGGTATTTCAGCCTGTTCACAGGGATGCTCAGAGGAATCTCTAAAGTCTCTGATCACTGAAGACTGTCTGACAAAGATCTAAATTACAGGCCGCCCACGCAGACAGCCCCTGACAGTACATCCCCTCTTATCCTCTCTAGATTTTACAGTAACGTCTTTAAAGATCTCCATAGAAATGAACCAGTTATGTAGCTAGCTGTTGAAACAGGTTAGAGAAAACTACTTAGACAGGTGATGTAATGAGTTACCTGATGTTTTGGAGAYAGTAATGTATTTCTTGGCAGGTTTTCTCTCAGCTTTACCTGCAAAAACAATAGCAATTTTGCATAAATAAGCTTTTGGAGTACAGCTAAGTAACACCTTAATTACAACTAACTAAAAAGAAACATTTTTTGCTTATTGAAGCAATATAATTTGCCTAAAAAAGACTTGTGACACTGGTTTTAGAGAATCATTAAAGTTCCAGTTAGTTTGTTAGTTTTGGCTTTCTCKTGTTCTAAGATGAAATATCTTTGGTTAAGGTACTGATGAGGCTTCCTGTTTCAGATCTAGGAAATACGCCACAGCAAACCTGGTCATATTCCATTTGCAAAGTTTTAAAAAAAAGAATTTGCCCTTAGATGTGCTCAGTGACCAAGTTAACTAATAATATTAATGCAAACCTATGACTTCACATTGAATATTATGCATGAGATGCTATTGTCACATGCTCACTACAAAAACTATTGACAGTAATTTGTTTAACTCTAACTTTGGAGTTCAAAACGAATGCATCCCGATAAAGAAATGTGCTTATATAGACCGACACAACCTCACCTATTATGTTGCTAAGAGATGAAATCCGATTCAGTTTCTCCTCAAATTTCTGTGGCTGTTCCTCATCTGGGTCACCTGGTAGATCATTGGCAGGTGACGCAGCTTCATCAGCTGCCGGTGTGACGGTGGGTGCTGGCTCCATGGTGCCATCAGCCCGAACCTTTGGCTTCTCCACCACCATGTTGGTGAGTGGAGTCAGGAAGTGATAGGTCACCGACAGGTTGGCAGCCTGCTGGGTGTGATCTTCTCTCTCCTTGCTAGTTTGGCTGCGCAGCCGTGAACGAAGACAGTCCTTAACACTCAGGAAACCCCAGATGCGTTCAATGAAGTTTTCTGAAATTTGACCCAGTGGATTCCCCAGTCCCTGCATGACCCCCGACCCTAGGGTCTTGGCTCCGGCAGCCATGGCAGCGGCGGCTGCCTTCACGTGTTTCTCGGTTTCTATCTGCAGTCGCCGCAGCGGCACGTCCATCTCCAGGATGATGTTCCTGTCGTTGTTGCTGGCAGTAACCTGAACGTGGAGGGACTCCGCACTTTGGTTCGTAAGCTTCCCAGCGATGACAATCTCAGAGCCGTTGAAGTAGTTGGTGAACAGATTCTGAGTGATGTAATTGACTGAGTTCTCTGTGTAGTTGACACTGATGTCTGACAGAATAGGTGTCCCTATTTCATCATAGAACCTGGAAAAGAGACAAAAACATTTTAGACTGAAACTTCAGTTTTGMTGCAGTTTTATCTCGGGATGCCCCTTGTGACAAGACAATAAAAATCAAAACACTCGGCCGAAATCATTTAAGTTACACCTAACCTGGCTAAGCAATACGCTAGAGGAAACTTTCAAAATAAGAGACTCACAGGACAATGAMAAGGCAAAAAGAATTACAGGACAGGTGGCTGAATTTATTGCWTTGGACGAGCAACCCCTAATTCCTCCAGAAGTGTGCAGTTTGTACCAAAAAAAATAAATAAATAAAGCTTCTAAAAAATGCAACACTTAAAATGAGTAAATGAGTAAACCTGCATTAAAGCACATGTCCTGTCCTTGTTGTCCCAGCATTATAAACAGCCTCACCTCTTACCCAGCCTGTTTGTTCAAGCTGGACCTGGGCTATTATCAGAGTCTATCCGCTAGCCCCAAGCACACACTTAGCTGCAGGATTCACAACACACACACACACACACACACACACACACACACACACACACACACAC